GCCAAGCAGCATCAGAGGAGCAGGAAAGCTGACATTTCGGGTCTAGAACCTACTTCAGAAGAAGGGTCTGAAGAAGGGTCTAGACCCGAAACGTCAGCTTTCCTGCTCCTCTGATGCTGCTTGGCCTGCTGTGTTCATCCAGCTCTACACCTTGTTATCTCAGATAGGGTGAAACCCTTCCCTTCAATAGAGGGGCTCAATAACCAAGGGGGACAGTTTTAAGGAGCAGGAGATTTAGAAGGGATTTGAGGAAAGTATTTTTCACCCAAAGGGTGACAGGCGTCTGGAAGACTGCCTAAAAGGTGTTAGAAGCAGGAACCTTCAAGACATTTAAGAAGTTATTTAGATAAGCACGAGAAATACCATAGCATTTAAGACTATGTACCAAGTACCAGAAAAGAGGATGAGAATATGTAGGTTCTTACTGACAAATGTGGGCACAGTGGGCCAAAGGGTCTTTCTCTGTGCTGGAGAAATTCTATGACTCTTCAGTATTTATTCCTTGAGACAGTCTGGGCAGCATCCTCCCTCAAATTATGGGATAGTGGGGCTTGAGTGAGGATCTCAAAGGCCATAACAGCTGTGAGCCAGACCAGGGGAGCCACTTTCCTTCAGACTTCATTGCTTTCGTTCAGGCCATTCGATTTAGAATGGCAAACGGTCCCTGATACAGTTCAATCATGGCTCTCAAACCCGGGAGACAGAGGGGCAGGGTAAGTGACGTGAGGATGTCTAAAAACAGAGGAGTCCAAAATAATTATATTTCTTCACAAGGACTCAGTGCAGAAGGCCCTGTCCGATCAGAGAGGATACACCTCCATTTTATTACAACAGGTGGGTGGAAGGGAAGTGATTGGTAGGTGGTTTTTGATGACAACAGCAATCTCTCCTCCCCACTTCCCATCGCCTCCTCCCTCCCAACTCCTCACACTCCCAAAACACCTCCCCACTCACCAACACCCTTCCATCTCCTCACACACCCACCTCCCATCACCGGCACCTACTACTGACCTCACAAATCCTGACTGGATCAGTTAGGACTATATTCACTGGATTCCCACTGGGGGGAGGGAGTCTCATAGAAACTAGTAATGTTCTAACAGGACCCAAGGGTAAACACAGGAAGGATGTTCCTGATGACCGGGGAGTCAAGAACCAGGGGGTTAAAGTTTAAGGATATAGGGGAGGCCATTTACGATTGAGATGAGAAGAACACCCATCAGCCAGAGAGTGGGGAGCCTGTGGAATCTTTTGCCACAGAAAGCAGTTGAAGCCAAAATGATGAATGCTTTCAAGAAGGAATGAGAAATATTTCTTAGGGCTAAAGAGATCAAAGGGTGTGGAGGGAAAATGGAAACAGGGTACGGAGTTGGATGATCCGTGATTATATTGAATGGTAGAGCAAACGCAAAGGGCCAAATGGCTTACTCCTGCTTCAATTTTATCTGCAAAAATACAGATTGGTTACCCACCTCCTTCACCCACCAGGACCTCCACACTTCCCTCCTCAACTTCTGCCAACCCGGTAAGTCACAGGTACACCAGACCAGGTAAGAATGGCAGATTTCCCTCACTTGAATGAACCGGGTTGTGGGGGGGGGGTTCCTTTTTTTAATACGGCCAGTATCAAGTAAATTCTTGGCACTGTGGCTCGGTTTAATTCGAGATTAATTAATTAAGAGTCATAATCCAAATAGCAGCTAGTAGAATATAAACTGAGACATAAAATTGGGACTTAAAGCAAATCTCAGTGATGGTGACCATGTCAACTATCCCCAATTAATGTAAAAACACTTCTGGTTTACTTCAGGGGTTGTAAACTTGCCATCTCTACTTGTTTTGCCAAAAAGGGGAGACAGTGGTGTAGTGGAAATATTGCTGGGCCAGTAATCCAGAACCCCAGTTGAATGTTCTAGGGAAATCAGTTCAAAACCCACCACGGCAGATGGTGAAATCTGAATTTAATTTTAAAAAAATAATCTGAAATAAAACCGTGCAATCACTGTCAACCATTGTGAAAACCCATCTGGTTCACTACTGCCCTTTAGGAAGAAAATCTGCCATCCTTACATGGTCTGGCCTACGTGCGGCTCCAGAGCCACAGCAATATGGTTGACTCTTAACTGCTCTCTGGTCGAATAGGGCGATCAATGCTGGTCTAGCAAATGATGCCCACATCCCATGAACACGTATTTTACATAAAAGTGACTCCAGGCCCACAGCAATGTGGTTGACTCTGAAATACCTGAGCAATTGAGGGCAATTAGGGATGGGCAAATGATACCAGCCTTGCCAGCAATGCCCACATCGCATGAAAAAAGAGAAAAATAGGCCAGCATTAGTGATAGGGGGAATCTGAAGCTTTGCTCCCCGAGCAGTCAGTTCGGTCTCCTCAATTACTAACACACAGATGAAACCACTACACTACCATCGCCCTAAACTGCAGGCTTGATCACCTCAGGTCAGCCAAGCTTAAATAAAATGGCAGAGATGGTAAAAGCAACACTACACCCTCTTCTTCCCAATAGTAAGAGCCCAAATAGTGAGACTCCATCACAGTTCTCACCTTGTTGCTGGTGGCAGGGCGGACACCTGTTGGTGGGAGTGTGCGTTCGGGAGGCTGTTCTCCTTAGTCCCAGAGTTCGTGTCCACCGGGATATCAGGCGACGTCTGGCTCAGTTTGATGCTGGACTCAGGGTACGACTCCAGGTCGAGGTAGGAGCGCTCGGGCATCTCTGGTCCACAGTCGACCCGCTCAACAGCAAGGTCGGTGAAGTGCGAGTGGTGGTGCAGGTGGTGCGAGTCCTTGCGCTGGGGATTCATGCCTTTGTCCCGCCATGGGATCCAGCAGAGCTTCCAGGAGACAAAGAGTGAGACGCCCAGGAGAACGATGCCACAGAATGTTACAATCACCGAGAGGAGGCTGACTGATATATCTGAGGTAAGAGACAATGGGTGGAGATTCAGGGGTGTGTAGAAAAGACAAGCGTTAGCGACAAACTTCAAATCTTCAAAGGACATGCTTAACACTTGGGCAAGGCAATTATTTATGTTACAATAATGTGCAATTATTTGTAGAGAACAAGAAGACATATGGTACAAAAGAAAAATAATGGAATTGTAAAAGGGAGCTCTGGTGTTCAACTGTGCTGTATTTGATTATGAGGGTCTGGTTACTGAGCTGTGCTCCCTGTGCTCGGTTGGTTAAGCTGCTGTGGACTCAGAGCATTACAAAGAGACACCACAAAAGCTCCTGCTGGCTACAGCTGTGATACCTCAATCCAACGTGTATCACTCTCCTAAATGCAACTTAATGCTAACTGAGTTTGTACAACCTTCCCTCATAAAGAAAGCTTCTAAAGGCTGCTATTATTCAGGTAAATCTACACTGCACACCAACCAAACTCAATCCCTCCTTCCTGACTGAAGTGCCCAGTATTAAGCATAGTTATCCCAAGTGGGGCTGACCATGACTCAATATAACTGAAACATCACTTCCACACTCTCTGTATACCAACTTCCTGAAATGAAAGACCAACATGATATTTCCCTTTTTGCTTGCTTTCTCTGCAGCTTTTAATTATTTTGTGTTTGTCTCCCAATGCCTCTCTGTAGTTCCTCATGGTTTTGTTTTCATTCATTCATAGATAAGGCCAATATTTATTGCCAACCCTAAATTCCCTTGAGAATATTGGCAAGACTGGGTCCATAGTTAGAATGGGAGTGGCAAACACGGGACCACAGTATCAGACCTTTACATGTCACTTTCTCACATGGTTATGTTGTGGCATTTGTATACCTTAGGTGTTGTGTTATGACTCAAACAGTATTTAAGTGTACCTTTAAGAGACATGCTCATATCGTCACTGTGTCATAGCATGTGACCTGAAGGTCTAAAGATCTCATATTCCATCTTACCTTGCATCACTTGAAGCATGATTGTCTACTGGAAGCATACTCCTCTGGTTGTAACTTAATAGCTTAGGAGTAGTTCAGTCACTGCTGCACGTCAGGAATGTAATGTTTGTACATAATAGTTTGTGATCACAAATGTCTGTTGGATTCTTCAATACTACACCCAGTTTCTCATGTTACAGGAGATAGCATAAGAATTTCTCCATCAGGTAAAATACCCTGCAGGAGGTAAACTCACACCGCATGTAATGTACCAGTTTATCTTTATTTTTTACTTATTTTAGGAGATATGAATGATTCCAGCGAGGACAACCATATCCCTTTTAAGGTGGTGTTGAGCTGCCATCTTGAACCACTGGAGGTACACTCCCAGTCCTCCTAGGAAGGGAGTCCCAGGTTTTTGACCCAGTGACAACTGAAGGAACGGTGATACATTTCCAAGTCGGGATGGTGAGTGGCTTGGAGGGGAACTTGAAGGTGGTGGCGTTCCCATGTATCTGTGCCCTGTCCTTCTACATGGCACTGATCGTGAGTTTGGAAGGTGCTATCTAAAGATCTTTGCCGAATTTTTGCATTGATCTTGTAGCTGGTATACTCTGCTGTCACTGAGTGTTGGTGGTGGAGGGAGAGGATGTTTGTGGATTTGGTGCCAGTCAAGAGGGCTATTTTGGCCTGGATGGTGTCGAGCTTCTTGAGTGTTGATGAAGTTGCACTCATCCAGCCCATGAGGAGCTTCTATCACATTCTTGACTTGTGCCCTGTAAATGGTAGACAGGTTTTGGGGAGTCAAGGGTTCAGCTACTTGCTGCCTCTGACCTGCTTGTGTAGCAACTGTATTTATATGGTGAGTCTAGTTGAGCTTCTGGTCAATGGTAAGTCCCAGGATATTGACATTGGGGAATTAGTGATGGGAATACCATTGAACGTCAACTTAATCAAAAGCAGTTTACTACAGGTGCAGGAGATCTGAAATAAAAACAGAAAGTGCTGGAGAAACTCAGCAGGGCTGATAGCATTTGTAGAGAGAGAAATCTTTAGTAACATCAGAATTGCACCAGGTTTACAGACTGTGTCTAAATGGTTGGCATTTTCTACAGCAAAGATTCTGTCAGATTCTGAACAATCACCCACCGCAAATGGTAAGAAACCCTTCTGTTTCAAAAGTGATTATACTGTTTGCTTAGTAATAAATAACCCATGAGCAGATAAATATTTTTGAGAGCTGCTAGGCCATGTAATAAACTGTAATTCAGTAATTAAAACATTGGTTTCTTCAGTGGCGTCACTGTTAAATAATGCATTCCATTGCAACCTATCTGATAAATAATGCATTTGCACACGCACCTTCAATATTACAAACATTCATAGCTGCTGCCGCAGATGTTGCCATCAATTATCGGCTGCAATGAAACCGAGGAATCATACCCTTCATGGGTTCTGTTGTTGTCAGGTGAATCCATTTACAATCACATTTCATGAACATTAGCAAGTTCAAGGCCTGGTTTAATGCCCCTCAGTCCATCCCTGCCTCAGCTCAGTTGCTGCTGAAGCTCCCAAGATCCAGCTGTCACCTTTGTTCCATCAAAATCTGACTTATTCTGGTGCTTCTCTGTTCAGCATGCCAACCTTGTTTTCTCTGTAACCTGGAACTCATCTAAAACTCCTCTTGCCTTCATTCAAACTCGTACCAAATCCCCTTCACCCAGAAATCTTGTGCTTGCTGACCTACACTGGTACTCCTCAAAAAAGTTCTCATCCATCTTCTGAAATCTCTCAACCTCCTGGTTTGTGTAATCTTTCAAACTAGCCTCTCATACATTGTCAATTTGCATTTCTCAGTCATTGGACTCCCCAGCTCCTGAGAAACATCTGCTATTCATGTGGTCGGTATTTTGTTAATCATATACTGCTAAGAAGTTAATCAAACATCAAATTGGTGCACAGTCTGACCAGGTAGGGAATGCAGTTTCTCTTTCATAGAATCCCTACAGTGCAGAAAAAGGCTATTCAATCCTCTTGAATGCAGTGATCCTCCAAAGGGCATCCCACCCAGACCATGCACCCCCATCGTATCACCATAACCCCACATTTTCCATGGCTAATCCATCTAGTCTGCACATCACTGGACACCACGGACAATTTAGCATGGCCAATCCATCTAATATGCACATCCCTGGACTGTAGGAGGAAACAGGAGCACCTGGCTGAAATACCTACACATAGGCCGGGATCTCGTAATCAAGTCACCCTTTATTTACATGTGCACAGTACATGGACTCTGACCAACCAGCTCAAAGCCAGTCATTAGAATGAGGAGACTATGAATCTCCTGTTTATCTCTGTCAGCCAGGGCTCCCTGATTGGCCCAGATTAACAACCCCAATCAAGGATCTCATAGTCAATGAGATCCACCTGGACCTCATTCCAACCATTACACGGAGGAAACCCATACAGACATGAGGAGAACATGCAAATTCCACACAGACAGTCACCCGAAACTGGAATTGAACCTGGGTCCCTGGCACTGCGAGGCAGCAATGCTAACCACTGAGCACCATGCTTTTCCTAAAGAACATAACTGAATCAGATTGGATTTTTTTAACGGGTACCAATAGTGGTTATAATGATCATCATTAGGCTAGCTTGCTTTATTGAATTCAAGTTTTACTGCCTGCTGTGGCAGGATTTGAATCTATACCCCCACAGCATTAAGGTTTGGCATTACTAGTCTTGTAACATTACCATGACACCACTGATTACACTTGCAGTTCAGAGAAGGTTCATAAAGTCATACAGTACAGAAGAGGCCCTTTGGCCCATCAAATCTGTACCACAAAAAAAATGCTACTACCTGCTCTAGTCCCACTTTCCCACACTAGGCTCATAGCCTTGAATGTGATGACGCTTCAAGAGCTTTTTCAAGTACTTTTCAAAGGTTGTGAGTTTTCCTGCCTCAACTACCTTCCCAGGCAGTGCATTCCAGACCCCCACCACCTTCAGGATGAGAATGGTTTTCTTCATATCCCCTCTAAACCTCCTATCTTTGACTTTAAAATCTGTGCCCCTTTGTGACTGATCCTTTGACTAAGGTGAACAACTGCTTTCTGTTCACCCTGCCATGTCCCTCATAATCTTACATACCTCTATCAGGTCCCCCTCAACATTCTCTGCTTCAAAGAAAACAACCTGAGGTTATCCAGCCTCTCTTCATTCATCCCAGGCAACAACTTGGTGATCTTGGCTGTTTCCTGGGATGGAGGGATTTGTCTTATGAGAGAATTTGAGGAGGTTGGCCCTATACTCATTAGGGCTTTGAAGAACAAGAGGTGATCTCATTTAAAATCGACTTCTGAGTTGGCTTCACAGGGTGGTTGCTGAGAGGGGGTTTCCCCTTCTATGAAAATCTGGAACTGGGAGTACACAGTTTCAAAATAAGTGGTCCCCATAGTAGACAGAAATGCTCTTCCTCTTGGAGAGCTGGTAATCTTTGAAATCTCTTCCTGAGATCAGCGGAGAATGGGTAATTGGGTGCATTTAAGGCTGAGTTAAACAGATTTTTGATTGACCAAGAGTTATGGGTTAGGCAGGAAAGTAGAACTGAGACCACAATCAGATAAGCTACCATCTTATTGAATGGTGGAGCAGGCTTGATGGCCTGCCTGTAATTCAATTCCTTACGATCTGCTGATCAAGGCCTAGAGTGGTGCCCTCGGGGTCTGCATCATGGCAGGTGTGACAGTGTAATAAGAAGTTGGGCGAAAATCAGGCCAACTGGATGTGGGGTCACTTTCCCAACTTGGCTCCGCGCACCTTAGACTGAAAGAACTGAAAGAGGAGACACTGAACAATAGCTGGCACCGAACACACCAGGCCCACATGTTAGGCAGCTCAAGTTGAGGGAGAAATGTCCTCGTGCTGTAATTACAGTAAGAGTTCACTTTGGCAGATCTTGCTTGTTTACACATTGCATGGTGACGGAATCACAGATGATCTATAGCAGGGGGGAGCCTCTGTCCCTTTGGTGCATCGATTTGACTACTTGCTGGTCACACGTGAGTTTCCAAAAGAGATTAGAACACTGTTGTAAGACCTGACTACTGTGAGAC